TTGCGCCCACATTAAAAATTTAAAAGTTTCGGAAAACCCACGGTGTAGGTACTCAGTGCCAGATCTAAGCCTAAGAGAATAAAAATGTAGAAGAGATGCTACTAAACGAATATTTGAGACTCCTTCGAAAAAAAAATGTTTTTAAAATTATTAATAATTGCCCTAGTCTCAGTATTATGATTTATGAATTTATGATGCATTAATTATATTTTTTTGGTGTTTTATAAAAGTGAAAAAAATTTTAAAAGGAAACATTTCAATCAGATTACCTCTTGACCTTGAATTAAGATATTAAATATTAATTCGTGCTCTTGAGTTTTTACTTATGTGTTCCTTTAATTTGAGTCRAGACTTCAAGAGTATAAAAATGAAACTGAATCCATATAGGTAACAGTATAAAATAAACGGTCGTAGATAATTTATGAAGTATACACTTTTTTCTTGACCATTATTTATTATTATTATTTGCTTAAAAATGTATTACTTTAAAAAAATCTAAAAAACCAACTTGAAACACCTAAGACAACCTCAACTTTAACCCCTGCTACCATGCATTTCTGCTAATCTAGTATAGGACATTAGGACCATTAGGAACTTGGTGTACAAAATACCTACATGGCTACATGTGTTTTAACGACGAGTGACATCTATAATAATTATTACATATAGAATTATGCCCGAATCACGTAGAAAAACATAAATAAAACCAAATTTTCATATTTTGCWATTACGTCATATAGTTTACTAGACATTAGTTTTAATTTTATAATTTAAAATTTAAATCAATAATCCATCTATCCTCTGGCAGTTGTATTTATACCTATCTTGAAATTGAAAAATAGTATGGAATAAATTAAATACAGGTCATATAAAATATTATAATTCAAAATAATTTTAAAGCATCATAATAAAATTATTTTAATTTAATTTTTTTAGAATTTCATATGATTTATATAAAAAGGCTGGTTAAATAAAAATGACTACAGCAAGAAACAATAATAAAAATGTGATTAAAATATATGAAATAGCATTCATACGATTACCTGATTGGGCGTAATTAAGGGGTTGTGAGGGGGATCGATCCCCCAAAACTTTTATTTTACTGCTAAAATTTGATATTTGGTGGGGTATGATGCTTACAGATTTTGCTAAAAACATGTAAATATATAATCCCCCCCTTCAAACCAGATTCCACTGGTTGGCTGCAGTAAACTTATTACCTATACTAATTAGTAATTACTTATACAGTCATACACATATAAGTAAAAAGATTTAAGATATAAATATATGATGTTATGGTATATGGTGAATATGTGAAATGTGATGGGAACACCACTACTTATTTGTAAAGTTTTAAGTTTATAAGCTATGAAATGGATAAAATTGTAACAAGAGTCCGATCGTAGTTTCAAATATTACTTTTAGTTAGCCTACATCTTTTGATGCGGTAAAAATGAGTTCAAAAAATATGTTGAGTGGAAAATTAAAACCATTAGGCGTTGACGCGTTGTTGATGATTATGAATTTCATTTTGTCGGGAATTAGTGGAATAATCTGCAACGTTGGATATATTGTGTTGTAATAAAACATGAATAACATGCATTGATTGCAATGTGGCTATAAAATATAATATCGATGATGGCATTTGTGAACAAAATACAACACGTCATACTCATAAAATATTAGATGATCCTCCTCAATGATACGGCAAAAGTTAGTAAAATAGTAATACAGTGTTAAATGTAAGGTTGAGTGAACGTCCCTGAGAAATTATTCATTCTAAGATGTTAAGCACTAGACTCAAATGATTAAGTCACATTGATTAGAAAGAATATGTATTCTACTCGTATATACACGAATGCGGAATGAGTATTTAATCAAAATTGCTACGTGACTTTCCTCAGTTACATACGACACTTTCTGACGTACCTACCTAGTTAATAAAAAACAAAAAGGAAAAATTGATCTTTATAAATTATGTTTATTTCATTGTTCAGAACAATGTAGTATACTAGTATGTAGTATGTTCTACGACTCAAATGAACTTAGATTTTTTTAAACAATGTGATTCATTTTTATGGATGGGACTTTTTTGAGATATATTTATTTATTTTCTGTAACTATAAAAAAAAAACCTTAGGGCATAGATAAATATTTTCACTGAATGCTAATAGCGGAATTTCCTATATAATAATATACTTCCTAAATTATTATCAAAATATTTTGATTTTTTTGAGAAATTGATTGGTATGGACTATAAGAAATGCTTAAGCTCCGCTTTTAATGTAGAATGAATTTTTAGATTCTGAGCGGAGCGATGAATGTATTGATTTTACCATGATGTGTGTTTAATACTTTTCTAAATAATTGAGAAAAACAAACTAAAAATTAAGGGAAAAACGGGAAATTTTACGCACACTCATTTTTCGACAAAA